AAAGTTAGATATCAAGCAACCTATCAAATATGTTCTTTCCTCTTGTCAAATGTATCTTATGAAGGTACGTTTGACCTCCTGGAAGGACAGATTCAAATGCAAAGCTCTTAGAATCCCTAGAGTCCCATGCCAGAATGTGGCAGTGTGAGAAATTGTCCCTGCCTCTAGGCTGCCTCTCTTCTCATCCCACCTCCTACTCCATCCATGAGAGGTCTTGAACACAAGTTTGTGGGTACTCAGTCCATGCATCCAAGCTTCAGGTACATGCTCTCTCATTCCCCAGATAGCTGTCCCTCCAGGTCATCATCCTCTGATCTGGGACAGTACATTCAGGCAGAGCAGTCCAGAAGATAGTCTTGCAAGTGGCCTCAGGGCCATTTATGTAAATAATTCCAGTGTCTCAGATACCTGGAGTCTGGCCTATGAGAGATGGGGGAGGTGAGGTGATGGATTCTAGGAGGGCATGTCTCCATAACCCTGCAAAATATTTTTTCCATAAGGAAAAGGAAAGCCCATATAGGGCTCCAGGGTGCCATATACATATTTAACTCATTCAATCCTTACAGTGATCCTATGAGGTAGATACTATTATGTCCATTTTACTAATGAGGAAACTGAGGTTTAGAGAGATTAAGTAAACTGCCCAAGGCGAAAAGCCTACTAAGTGCAGAGAAGGGATTAGAATTTAGGCAATCTGGCTCCAGAGCCTTATCTTCTGAACTGAAAGGATTTCCCTATCACACTATTCCTTGATGCTTTCTGTATAACCTTATTAATTCCTCCCCACAGCAGTACTGAGTTATCTGTTTGACTCTACAAGCACTCAGTATAGTTGTTAGGGGTCTTCACTGCTCACCATCACCTGAGCCTTCTTTACAAATAAAATTAAGGTATCTTTAAGATATTTTCTGGCTCCAGAATCCTGTGTTTCTTAGGTAGACATGATTGCATATTTCCCCTTCATGTAAGCTTGAACAATGTTCCAGAAAGTGTACTAATGGTAGCACAAAACTACTACTACTACTACTACTACTACTACTACTACTACTACTACTACCACTACTACTATTACTACTACTACAAGTAGTAGTTAGTAATAATAAGTATTACATTATCATCATAGGAACCTACCTACCATTGAGATTGCCACACATCTTTAAAGTTTTGGAATACAAATTAACATCTTCTATAGGAACCCCTCATTGTTTTTACTAGGAAATGCTGCAAAAATTTTAGAGAAGAAACATTAATTAGCCTATATTGTCCACTTAGGAAGAATATGTAATGCTGTCAGATGCAGTAATCCACATCTCACAACCAGATGTGACCCCTATTAACCTAAAACGTACTGAAATAGGGCACCTGGGTGGTTCAATTGTTTAAGTGTCTGCCTTTGCGTCAGGCCATGATCTCAGGGCCCTGGGATCAAACCCCTCGCGGGCCTCCCTGCTTAGCAGGGAATCTGCCTCTCTCTTCCCCTCTGCTCCTCCCCACTATTCGTGCTCTCTTAAAAATAAATAAAACCTTTAAAAAAATAAAATGTACTGAAAGTATGGCATATGTTATTAGTTATATGACTAATTTTTATATTAGTTATATGACTAAGTTTTAGTTATATGACTAATTTTTCATTATTTTCTCTTTGAGATTAGAGATCTCATGTAGGAGATGGGGGCATTATTAGAAAGGAACACAATAACAATTATTACCAGGAAGAGAAAAAAGGAATTATACCAGAGCCCATGTTTGGGCTAAGAAATATCAAATGTGTGCTGAGATTATAGATGTCTATACATTGCAAATTGGTCTGCAATTAAATTAGACTGGAAGTTAGACTTTGCATAGAACTGTAGGTAATTACATTTGAAAGACAGACCCTGGATATCTGGGAATGCTTTTTAGAATAGTTCTTTTCAAACATGGATTAAAGAGGTCTTTTCCTACTTGTCTGATCTAGTTCTTTCATGTTAATTTTACTGAATAGAGAATATAGAGAAACTCTACCTTTAATGAAAAATCGTGGAAACTATTGATCTTAGACTGTAGTGTCTATTACAGTTCAATAGAGCCTTCCTCTTTAACCTTTGTTAAAAAAATGAAAAGTGTGGGGAAAAACACTTGAAAAGTTACTTTCTCCACAAATGATGGATAATTGCCCATTTCTTTTAGCCCCACCATTCTGTACATTCTAATGTGATGTATAGTTTATCCAAAATGTTTTTAATATTTCTATAAAAACATTAAACATAGGATAAGTCCTGGATGCTAGATGAAAACCATGAACTTTAATTTAAAAATCAATCTTTTCCTCTATGAATAATAATTTCTTCTCTAAAAATGAATGATACTTAAGGAATTACATGAAAATCATTATTATGTATAATATACAGGAAATCAACATGCAACGACCACATAAAATAAGTTAAACACTGATTTTATTTTTATTAGCCCTACTGGAATTTACATACTATGGAATCACACATTTAAAGTATACAGTTCAATGGTTTCTAGTATATTCAGGGTTGTGCAACTAGCATCACAATCTAATTTTAGAACATTTTTATCACCCACCCAAAAAGTCCATACCCATTAGTAGTCATACACATTTTCCCCACCTACCCATTCTCTGCTCTAGAAAGCCACTAGTCTACTTTCTATTTATATAGATTTGCCTCTTCTGAATATTCCATCTGTAAATACCTTGTGTGGTCCTTTGTGATTGGTTTCTTTCGTCTAGAATATTTTTAAAAAAGATTTATTCTAGAGAGAGAGAGAAAGAGAGTGGGGTGGAGGGGGAGAGGGAGAGGGAGAGGGAGAAAGAGAATCTTAAGCAGACTCCCTGATGAATGAAGAGCCTGACTCAGGACTTGAGCCCACGACCCTAAGATTATGACCTGAGTTAAAATCAGGAGTTGGATGCTTAACTGACTGAGCTACCCAGGTGCCCCTTTTCTAGAATATTTAAGGATCCATGTTGTAGCTTGTATCAGCATTTCATTCCTTTTCATTGAGGAATAATATGCCATTATATATGGTTAAATATATTTATTCATTCATCAATTGATGGACATTTGGATTCCACATTTTGGCTATTATGAGTAATGCTGCCATGAACTTTCATATACAGGTTTTTATGTGGTTGGATGTTACGACTCTTGGTATATATCTAGAAGTAGAATTGCTAGGCCACATGGCGACTGTTTAACTTTTTTGAGGAACTGCCAGATTGTTTTCTAAAGCAGCTGCACCATTTACATCCTCACTGGCAATGTATGAGAGTTTCAATTTCTTCACATCCTCTCTGAAGCTTGTAATTGTCTTTTTGATTATAGCCATTCCATGGGTATAAAGTAGTATCTCGTTGTGGTTTTGATTTGCAGTTTTGTGGTGGTTAATGATGTTGAGCATCTTTTAATGTTCTATTTTTAAATCTTTTACTTGGTTAATAATGTAGAATTTAACCCCATTAGGTGATAGCTGGTAAAATATTATTGTCAGTTTTTAGTAGTTCATTGCTAATGAGGTCAAGGCTGCACGATCTAGCTCTAAATGAATTGGTTAGCTTTTATAGAGAAGATTGTGTTTAAATAGCTACACTCATATGTCCTAAGTCTGTTCAATGATTTGACAGGCCCTTGATCTTGCCACTTAAGAAGGTGTGGATGGATCAACCAAAAAGTATGTCCTAATGACTCCAAATATTATTGGAGTAATAAAATACAATTTATTATCAACACATATTATTAAGAGCAATGATTTATTATTTTACTAAAAATGGTATTTGCTCATTTCAAACATTTATGAACCATCAAAAAGATACAAAGAAGAAAGCAATAAATTGTTCTAAATCTCACTTTTTTAGAAATAACCAGTTAGGTTTTAGGGAACTGTAATATCTTTAAACATATACAGTTAGATTTAGGGCCAGATGGTTGAATGCATAGAAATAATTTCATGAGAATGGGTTATTAGATCAGCTTTTTAAAAATAAAAAGGTATCAATTAATTTTACCTGAGTTAACAAAAAAAGAAAAAAATACTTAAGTGAAACAAAGAATGATTAAATTGATTTAAAGCTCACCTCCCATTTTGTTTACCATGACTTCTCCAGTTCTGATTTTTTTTTGTTCACGTCTTGAATGGCTGAATATCATCATCAGAAAGTTTTTTCAGGACAGCCCGGGTGGCTCTGCGGTTTAGCACCGCCTTCAGCCCAGGGTGTGATCCTGAAGACCTGGGATCAAGTCTCACGTCGGGCTCCCTACATGAAGTCTGCTTCTCCCTCTGTGTCTCTTCCTCTTTCTCTCATGAATAAATAAAATTTTAAAAAAAGTTTTTTCAAAAAGAACCCCCATAAGTGTGATAGCAGAAACTTTTGGTGAACCAACATTACTTTTCCATTTTTTAGTATAATACTCCCAATTTTAGATGTACGCACTGCTCCCAAGAATAGGGTGTATAAGCCTAGCTTCCTTTGCAGGTACATGCCCTCTAAGTTCTGGCCAGTGAGGTGTAAGTAGAAGTGTTATATGAAAATTACGCAAATATCCTTAGAGGGGGATGTGCCCATAATCTGTTCTCCTTCCTGCTAGCAAATGCAAGTTGCTATGCCTCCAGACTTTTTATGAAACTTTATTTTTATTATTTTTAAAGTCAGTTTTTAAGGAATTCCACATTAATTCCTTTCACTGCCAATTACCTTGGTCCCTCCAAAGTTAGAATCATAACCTTCAAAATAGCCCTTTTAAGAAGAACCTTTGTTCAAACCACAGTTCACTGTCATTCCACAATTGTTTTGGTTGGGATTCTTTATCTCCATTCGAATAAGGACATGCTTAAAAAACCCCCTCCCCCCTGTAATCTTTGGGATTCAATTTCTTCAAGCAATTTACTTTAGTGCCCTAGAAGTCAAATTGAAAGAAGCACATGAATTGCTATTTTGGCAAATGATCTAAAATATATAATTATTAATTTTCCAGTCTACTCCTGAGCCTAGCAGAAAATGTTATAAGTCTCATTGTCACCACTGCAATAAATCTGCTGTGATGGAAGCATAACTTGTGTTTCAATATAGCCACAAAACTTCTTTTAAAAAAAATTTTTTTTAAAGATTTGAGAGAGAGAGAGAGAGAGAGAGAGAGAGAGAAACATGAGCAGGGGAGAGGCAGAGGGAGAAAGACTCCCTGCAGAAAAACTTTAAAAACACCTAGATTCAGCAATTGCTAATATTTGCTTTATTTTTTCTTATACATACATACATGTGTATGTATATAAATAACACATTTCTTCCTGAGTCATTTGAAGGTAAGCTGCAGACATTTTACTCTTAAATATCAGGATATGTTTCCTAAAAATAAGATTTTTTTAAAAAAGATTTTTATTTATTCACAAGAGACAGAGAGAGAGGCAGAGACACAGGCAGAGGGAGAAGCAGGCTCCATGCAGGGAGCCTGACATGGGACTCGACCCCGGGTCTCCAGGATCATGCCCTGGGCTGAAGGCAGGCACTAAACTGCTGGGCCACCCAGGTGTCCCTGGCCAAAAACATTTTGTGCAGCTTTTCATACTGCATCACATCAGGAAGTGGAAGAGGCAGTTTGTTCTGGTAATGGTGTACTGATTTTTTTTTTTTTTTTAAGATTTTTAACTAACCTCTATACCTAATGTGGAACTCAAACCGACAACCCTGAGATCAAGAGTTGCATGTTCCACCGACTGAACCAGCCAGGCACCTTGGTGATACTAAATGTGATGATTTAAGATGTTGACCTCTAGATCTATTTAAAGGTAGATAATCTGTGGGGATGATTCTTTAGCATTACTCTTTATCTAATCATTTTAGTATACATTTATGACCTCTGACTTCATCAATTACGTCATTGAATAATTTTCTAAATCTATCATTTTTCTTATATTAGCTAGTATTCTTGGGTAAATAGCTTTCCTTCGTCAACTGAGGATAAACATCAGTTTCCCTCAAGACACACAGTAAATGCTTATGATTCCCTTTAATCACTAATTGGCAGAGATGGTATAATAGTCCTCTTTAAAGTTTGCAAAGGATTTTGAGGTATTATTCTTGAAGTTAAATAATTTTGTTAAGATATGCCTCTATGAAGACTATTCTATGTCATCTTTTATTCTGGCATACAGTGTACCTTTTTAATCTGCAGGTTCAGTTAATGTATTACTTTATTTCTGAATACTTTTTCTGTTCCATTTGTTGGCTTCTCTAATTTAGGAATACAATGATCTGTATGTTGGGTTAGCTTTGCTCTCTCGTCATCTATTTTAATATCCTGTCTTGTTCTGCATTTCTTGTGATAATTTCCAGTGTTGTTTCCATATTGGTAATTTGATTTCCATGCTTTTTTTTTTCCTGTTGTTTCAAATATATTCATTAGATTTGAAATTGTGTTTACATTTGATTATGTCTTTAGCTTGGATTTTCTTTTTGCTATCCATCTTTAAGCTCTTGATATTTTGAATTCATATTGTAACTAAATTCTTCTTTGGTACAGAATCTGCTTCTTTGATGTAAACTTTCTTCCAGACGGGGTTCTTCATTTATCTTTCTCACCTAATGTAAATTTGAGGATTTTGGTTTGCTTGGACTATGTTCCTTTCTGTTGTCGTTGCTTGTTTGATGGGGCAAGTCTTTCCAAATTGTTCTGATACATTGTATATGGACTCTTGACATTCTCTGCACTTTATCTAGGAATAAGTTGATCTTAGAGCTATAGCTTGGTGGTTGTGCATTGTTTTGTCATTTTTCTATAGCCTAATATTGGAAAAGGGTGGAGTAGGGAAAAGGATGAGATCTACTCTACTGAGATTCAGTATAGCCTCTGCTAGGGAACAGGCCTTAGCTCTTTCTTGAGATCCTATGAAATGTCCAGTTACACAGCCCATTACATGCAGCCAATGGTGTATCTCAGTTCTGTGTATTTTGGCTTATTCTCTTAGCTCTGCACAGGAATAATGACCTGATAATGGCAAGTCCTGGTGAAACTGTTTTTTCTTCTGCTAAAGACTACTGTTTTATTTTCCTTGTCAAGGAAAAAAAAATTCAACGACTCTCCATTATTTTAAGGATATAGTGCAAACCTCCACGTTCAGCTCCATCCACAATCTAACCTTTCAGGCTTACGTCGTCCCCTTTTCATCACACATGAAATCTCTCTTGCGCCGATTCTATTTAGTGTCTCTAAATCCACGTTTTCCTACATCTATCTTTTTATTCCATAGACCCATGTAGAATGTTCTTTCCACCTATCTTTATCTCAATTCTACCTATACTTCCTATTTCCTCCATTAAGTATTTCCTGACTTATTATAACTGCAAAGTCTCTTCGTCTTTTGAATTCCTATGTAGAATTTGTCTCTGTATGATTCACTGGCACTGTTTTACGGCCTGGGCATTACCGGTCGTGTATATTTTCGCTTATGTCTCAAATCGTTTTCGAGAATTTGTTTTTGTTTTTGGCAGTGCCCTTTATCTGCATGCACAGTGCCACCTGCCATATTTGTAGATTCCTGTTCCCTTAAGTAATAAAACCCCTTCAAAAATCTTGATTTTTTGCAGGCAGCAACTGCTCACCCAGACTCGGGCACTTCTACCCTCCTGGAGACTCTCCTACCTCTCACAGGGCTATATTAAAGCTTGAGGTAGTTGCGGAGTTAGTGAGAGCTTGGAAAGGACAGGACAGGCCCCCGATATCCCTTGTATTTTTACAGCCTTAGTCACTGAGATCTTGAAATCTCTTCCCACAATTCCACAAATTGTGGTTGCAATTTGAAAATGGGCCACTTCAGAATTCCCAGTTCACTCTGGGCAGTTTTAGGAGGAATGCCACGGGCATCTGCGTCTGAAGGCCCCCGCTGGTGGTTCGTGGTGTGAGCCCCTGCCCATTTCCAAAATCTGGGTATCCTCAGGTCACTTGGGAGGTGGCTCCCCGGAAGGCGCTGGTTCTTAGGGCAGAGTGAGACCACATCCCCCGGCGTTTTTCCTACACGTGGCAGCGCCGCACTTTAACTCGCCGGAACGCACCTGAACAAACAGGAAAACTGAAGGAGGAAACAAACCAAACTTGGGCTTCAGTCAGCTACAGGAGCCCTGAGGGGCTGGTGCAGAGGGAGTCCTCCGGGTGGGCCACAGAGATTGTCTCTACTCCGACTCCACTGCTCTTCATAGATGCACACGCACGCCGGCCGCCGCCTCGCCCTCGCCGCCTCGCCGCCTCGCCGCCTCGGTGACTTAGGGATCGCAGGGCGCTGACGAGGGGTCGCCCTCGGAGAGCCTGCCTCCGCTCAGCGGGACAGCCGCAGGAACCGCCGACGCCGGCAACGGCCTCTCCACACGGCCCCCTCCGGGCGTGCGGAATCCTGGGACTCGTGGTCCAGCTCCGCGCGCTCCCCGCCGGAACTGGCATTGAAGGGACTACAATTCCCAGGATGCGTCGGGGAAGCGCGGGGCGGGGGGAAAACCTGGGCGGGGAGAGGGAGGGGGCGGCCCCGGGCTCTGGGGCGTCGCGGTTTCCAAGCGCAGTGCTCTCGCCTAGTAACCGGCCGCCGCGGTTCCCGAAAGCGGCGCTGTGGCCCCGCCCCCGGAGCCCCGGCTGGAGGAAGAATCTGTCTCCCGCGGCGCCCCAGTGACGAAGCCCGTCTTCGGGTGCGGGAGGCGGGGAAGGGAGGGCAGGCAGAGGATTTCGCTCCTCAGTGCGAGATCCGGGACGTGCTGGCGGCGCCCGCTCGGAGCAGAGGTTAGAGGCAGAGAGAGCTGGGATGCTCTGCGGACGAGGCTGCATCGGGGGTGGGAGGAAGGAGCGGGGGACCCCCGGGGAGGCAGTGCGCGCGGGGCGGGCTGTCCCTGGGCGCTGGCATCCCTCGGACCTGCGGCGGCCGAAGACCGGGGTGTGTGTGCGCACGCTGCGGGGTGGGGTGGGGGGCGCCCCTGTGCCCCAGCCCCCGCCGGGCTGGAGGCTAACCCTTGAGCCCAGGGGTGCCCGTAGCCAGCTCCCACCTTCCTGAAGGGGGGGGGTGGTACACGATTTTTGCCACTTGTTAATTATTTAATTGCCTCTGGACCAGGTGCATTAGTAGGTAGCGCTTTCCTGCCTCCAACTGCACTAGTATCTCGTTTCCTCTAATTCAGAAAAATCTTTTATGACGCTTGCAGTTGGAGTTGCTGATTTGTGAGAACTGCTAAGTTCTTTATGTTTTTTTCCCCCCCGGCCAAGAGAGGGTTCACGAGAGCTATGAATTTTAAATTGGAGCATCCAAAAAAAAAAAAAATGACCACTGCATATTCGCCCCGGCTTAACGGGGGAAACAAAGTATTCTCTCAAATCGTATCAGCAACCACCCGCCAGAAGCAGTTAGGGCGTATTTAATATCATTAAGGAGGTAGGTCTGGAGGGGGAAAAGGGAGAATAGTTGATTAAAAAAAAAAAAAAAAGACCCAACACTTGGTTTAGTTTGGGGATCGTTTTCTTGGGTTGCTGACTTAAAAAAAAAAAAAATCTGTTTCTTTCTTCCTCTCTCTGGCATCCTGGGTGTAGACTGTCAGTTTCGGATCCGACGGTGGTGATGGCAAAGCTCGCCCGGGCCCTCGGTCACATCAAAGCTGTCACAGGATAAATCCCATTGCCTGCTGCGAAGCCCCCGCCCCGCCCCCGCCCCCCGCCCCGCACCGCAAACTTCAGTGAGCGAACTGGGTAATCGGTGTTTGGAGATGCGGATCCCCGATTCGGAAGGCGGGGCGGCCCCCCCGCGAGCCTCTCCCGGGGCCCGAAGCCCGCAGGTGCAGTGAGGCGTGCGCGTGCGGGAGCTGGCGCCCGCGAAGACGCCCTGCCCGGGCGGAGCAGCCGGGGCGCCCGGCGGGGTCTGGCGGCCGCGCACCGGCGGCTCGTCTCCGGCGGCGGCGGCGGCGGCGGCGGCGGCGGCGGATGATGGTGGCGGCCGGCGCCCTGGGCTGTGTCTGTGCGTCGCCGCGGAAATCAGCGCCCGGCGCTGCGCCCTGAGCCCTCGCCCTCGCAGGTCCTCCGCAGCCCGAGTCTCGGCGAGGACAGACCCGGCGCGCAGGGGCCGCGGACCCGCGCGCGGGGGGGGGGCCCGGGGG